ATATAGGATAAATAATGCTATATTATTTAATAATAATGATAAATATTTAATTATAATAATAATAACAATGATAACTGCTGATAATAATAATCAAAAAGTCAATAATATAAATAAATCCTGGAAAATACTTAAATTTACAAATAATATTTAAAGCAAAAAATAATCAAAACAAATGTAAAAAACTCTTGATCTTTTTCTTTCATTAACTTGATTCTTTCTTTACTTTCTCTTAGTTTATTAATTTTGTAATGTATCTTGTTCTTTAATTATATTTATTTGAGTCTATGAAGTTCTTACACATCTCTAAACTTTAAGTACTTTGGTTTTCTAATTAATTTTCCGATATATTTTTTATTTACTTTTTAGTCTTTTTCTTTCTCTATAAATATTTTTTCCTCTTAATTGCTGTCATGTAAAGATATATTACTTTATTTGATAAACTTTTTCTTATTTACAATTCTATCTATAACTGCGCCATCTTTACCACGCGTGCATTATGAATATCTATAACTCCGCCATCTTTACCACGCGTGCAATAATGAATATATAATAGCATCATACTTAATTGACAGTTCTATACAGAGTTTTTCAGTTGCTATGGTTTTTTAGGTGATTTCAAAATTTTATATTCGAAAAAAATTTAATATTATAGGATAATTACTGTTGATGTTGATTTAGAAAATAATTTTGTATAGTTATTGGCAAATGTCCAATTTAAAATTATATAATAGTGTAATAATAAATAAAATACAGTAATTAATAGTGGACAAATAATAAAATACAGTAATTATTAGTGTGATAATAAATAAAATACAGTAATTAATAGTGGACAAATAATAAAATACAGTAATTATTAGTGTGATAATAAATAAAATACAGTAATTAATAGTGGACAAATAATAAAATACAGTAATTATTAGTGTGATAATAAATAAAATACAGTAATTAATTGACAAACAATATACTGCATAATAATTTAATGCAAAAAATAAAATTGTTATTTGATGAATAAAAAGTAAAAATTATACAAGATAAATTCAGGTATAAATAAACCAAATATATACGAATCAAGTAAATTTGAGACATACAAAAAAAAAAAAGATTGAAAAGAAATACTATAAACCAAAATAAAAGTTAATATGAAAAAAATAAAGTAGTTAATGTAAATAAAAACAATATACCTTAAAATATATCTGACAAAAATAAATAGTACTACAATGTCAAATAAAAATATATCTGGCAAAAATAAATAATTTGTACAAATATCAAATAAAAATATTAGTAAAATTAAATGAAGTATATTTAGCAAAAACAGTTGTGTTATATACTTTGATAAATAAAAAAAGAATTGCTGTAAATAACCGAATTTATTAATAAAATCTTATTCGGAAAAAACTACGTCTTGACACAATGTGAAAAGCATAAAAAATTTAAAAATTATGTATAATACAGGTAGGTACACTGTCATAGATGAGTTTTTTCCAAAGTTCATTTAAAACTCCCGTAGTTTTCTAGAAATTTGTTTTTTTGATATTAATTAAAAAAAAAATAATAATATCAAATTTTAAATATGAAAACATTTGCATTTAAACAAATATGTTTTCTATAATTGAAAATTATAATTTCACGAGATCAATTTTTGTAACAATTTTTTTCTTTTTTTTCCTTTTTAATTTATTCAAATTAACTTTTTATAATATTAGAAATCGTTTTTTGTAAAAAGTTAAATAATATAAATTCTAAAAATCTAAAAAAGTTTATAATAGTTTTGTTGTCAATTAATGCGATCAAGAAGAAAAAATTATAAAAATGGGAGTTAAGAGTTTATCTGACATTTCTGAGATTTCATTTATCTGACATTTCTGAAAGACAAAAATATTAAAATCAAGTTTCGCTAGAATTGGCTTCAAGAGCAAGATAATAATGAAGAGTATTATTCAGACTATATAAGAAAGAAAAAACCCGGATAAAAAATGGGATTCCATTGGAAAAACAGAAAAGTTGAAGAATGTTCTTATAATATAAATTCAACGCGGAAAAAAAATATCGCCTCACATGAACAGTGCAAAACAGTTTAAGAATCTATTAATGATCATGCAAAAAAGTGCAGAAAAAAGAAAAGCTGACGAATGTTTTGCAACAGATATTTATAAAAATAAAAAGTATCAATTTCTGAACCATTTTCTACAATTTTATATTTAAAAAATAAAAAAATTATTACGCTTTGCAGATTGTTTATGGTAAAACTGAGATATTATATTTGATTTTAGAGAATTTTTGGTAAACATAATTATTCAGTAGTTTTTAGTTACTTTATTTATCCCTTTACCAATGTTCCAGAATTTACCCATGTACCTTTGTCAATTTGTTGACCGTATAATTTTTTATTAAAATAATTTTCTAGGATTTTCATAGCAAAAAATTTTGGGTATTTTTATAAAGTCAAAAACCATCTATGGGTACATCTTATAACTATCTATGGGTACACCTTATAACCATCTATGTGTACACCTTATAACCATCTATGGGTACACCTTAAAAAAAAAACACCTTAAAAACTACAAAGTCATAATTGATGTTCTTGACTAGCAATGTTTGAGCTTAAGCATATAATATTCTTTGTTTTAAGACCTTTTATAAATATCCTCTTTTAAAAAAATATAAGTTTGACTATATCATTTTTAGAAATATAAACAATTTAAAATTAAAAAAAAGTTTAAACTAAAAAACCACAATTTTTGGCATGAGTAAGCACCAATTTGAAAATAGATATCTACATTATTGCTACATATAAAGACAAAAAAACTTTTTACAATATTCTTCTCAGGTTGATGGAATGAGCATTTTTCAGTAGAGATGCTTGTAGTTTTTAAGGGGTACTAAGGTACAAAAAAGGGGTACTAAGGGGGTACAAGGGGTATAAAAACTTTGAAACACAAAGTCTAAATTTCTTTTCAGAATCAATAAGTTACATTTCAAAACAACATAAAACATTTCCCTAATTGATGTTGATGCTTTCCTTGTTCAAATTTGCTTTTATATTTGTTTTGGTCGATGTCACTAGTTTAATCATTATTGACATCATTCCATATTCTCTTCAAAATATTTTGCTGCATACTGATTTTTTATTTCGCGGGCTTTAAAACCCTTTACTATACAAATGTCATTACAAACACATTTTAATTTACATTTATAATATTGTTCTTTTTCTTTATCTTGCTTTTTCTTCTTCTTTCGATCCTTTTTTCTCGTTTCCAGTTTCAATCAATTCAACCTGTTTAATGTTTTGGGCTTCCAAAGACCTATGTATGTTGGTTCACATATGTTTTTTGTTTTGTTCAAGTCTTATGGCTTTACCTTGTTTACTTTAAGCAAACCTAGTATATCTTCTGATTTAAACTTTTCTCATAACATTCTTTCATAATCATCTGTGGTTTCCAATAGTTCACCGATCCATAACAATGATGTAATTTTGCTAATTTGGACCAACAACCTGGAATAACTGGTGTTAACAAGACATTTGCTGATAAATGTGTGCTTATATTCTTTGGTTTACTTTGAACAAGACTGCCAGAAGACTCTTGCTCCTGATTTTGAGCCTTAATTTTAACTCTTGATTTTTTTAGTGTCTTGCTTTCTTGATACTCCTTAACGTAACTCCTACCTGTTTTTTTTTCAATGAATACTACAATAGAATGTTCTTCCTCTGCCATCGAAATTTGCAGATGTTTTTGATATTAGCAGCTTTTCCATCTTTTCCATCGATCAATGGTGTCTTGATATTTGATAAAAGAAAACATCAGCATGCAAACAGCATAGCCTCTCTTGTTGTGCTCTTTGCACCAAAACACAGCTAGTTGAACCTTAAGGTTTTTTTTATTCATTTTTTTCCTCTGGGCTTTAGCCTCTGCCTTTGAATTCTATTTTCCAACAACAAAAGGTACTTTTATTACAAATTTTGGTTTCACTATTGCAAAATTATTTATAATACTTTTATCTATAAAATATATATGGTACAAAACAATTGTGTGCATAAATACACATTATTAATGGTTTATTTTGTAGTTTTTAAGGGTTTTTTGTGGTTCTTCACATTTACAATAATGGCGGTACAAATGCTATGTTCCAAACACAAAATGTTTAGAAAATTTTTAATGAGTCTGATAAACGACTCTAAAATCATTAGCCAATAACCTCCTTGCAGTATTTAAGGGGTAACAACCAAAAAAAGCAACTTTTCTTTGAATCGCAAAACTTTACTAAAAACTATAGATGAAAAAATATGGCGAGGGAAGACAATCATATTAAGTAGTAATATGTACAGAAGATTTTAGCACTTTAGAAGATTCAGTTTCAGGATTTTTTTTTTGTAGTTTTTAAGGTGTACCTACATGTGCAAGATTACAAATAATAATGCATATTTTGTCGAAAACATTAAAAACTCAACTGAACCAAAAAAAAAAAATGTACTTATGAAATATATACATAATTTTTTTTTCTTCAAGTTTTTTAATAGTATTACCAAAGGAAACAGATATTCTTATTTGTGCATTGTTTGTATAATTTTTTTTTACAAATTACGAATTATTAGTTATAATTTATAAATCGCACACAAAAAAAGCATATTTAAAAGCATTTCTGTAAAATTTTTGCAAATAATCTTTATAATTGCCACAATGAGCGAAGCATAAAATGAATCACACAAAAAAAAGTTTTTGAAAGTATTTCAGTGAAACTTTTGCTAACATCTTTTTGTAATTGCCACAATAGCCAATTATAAAAAAGGAACCATGTTGAACCATATTCTTGATTTGAATAAAACTTTCTCAACTTGAACAACTAAACTAAGCTTTAAACTCTGTTTCACATTCAACAAGCATATACAAGTATAAACAATTTAAGCATTAACAAGTATTGAATAAAACTAAATTTAAAGCATTTTGATTATGTTATTTTCTTGTTTTGTATTTTAATTTAATCTTGTTTGATAATTTATTTAGCCTCGATTACAATGCAAAAGAAACATGTTTCAAACCAAAAGGAAGAAGAAAATGATGCATATTCTTACACTAGTGAACAAAAAACAAACAGTGACTGGTCGGAACAATCTATTTTTAAACTTAAAAGCATGATTATGAACGAAATTTTAATGGCTTCATTAAAGTCTCCTACTAAAAACTCAGATGGCTTTTATGAAATTTACTTATATGACACAAAAGGGGATAAAGATATATTTATTAACCAATCCCTTGTAGATGATGGGTTTGTTACTTCAAATGTATTCCATCGGAATGGTAAACATATTTCTAATTATGTACTTAATCAGCAAATTGTCACGTTTGTATGTTTATCATTAGTTTAAGTAATTATTTTTTATTTTTTTATGTTATTTTTTTAAATAGACTTCATTTTATCTATTGTTTATTTTATATATTATTGTTGTATTATTTTTGTTTTTATTATTTACTATTGGTAATAATTTATTCAATATTCATTTTCTATAATTTTTCATGAACGCAGCCTGAATCCATGTCAACATCTGGCAATGTTGATTGCAAAATATGTAAAAAATATGAAATGTTTGTTCAATATGACTTCACAATTTATTTATTATAGTTATTTGTTTTTTCAAATTAGTTAAACTTTATTTAAAAAAAAAATTCATTCAGTTTTTTCATTTTTTCTCAAATTTATTCATAGCAAGAACATTATTTTATTTAAAAGTTAATAAAACCTTTTATATATCTGTTGTACTCACGCTTTTTTACTCAAAATTTTAGCGCGATAATTATGTTATAAGAACTGTTATATGACAGGATGCGCATTGTTAACTTTGCTATCAAAGACCATTATACCTATCAAAATTTAAGCGTTTTTAATTTAATATTTTTTGAAGTTTTTTTACATTTAGTCAAAGAAATGTAGAGTTTTAAATTGTAAAGGAAATTATAATAAACTTAACAAGTGTTGTTTTTTTAAATTACTTAAAGCTGAAATTAGGAAATAGAAATGGATTAACCATCTAAGTTTTTTATAAGTAAAAAACACTGGGCTGAAAATACAGAAAATGATTAAGTTTCCTAGTGGCTATACTTGACCACTATGTGCACCTGTATTTTTAATGTTCCTTTTTCTTGTTTACCAACAACAAATTTAGTGCTTTGCTAATCTAACCCTGAGGATCGGTGAATCTAACCCTGAGGATCGGTGAATCTAACCCTGAGGATCGGTGAATCTAACCCTGAGGATCGGTGAATCTAACCCTGAGGATCGGTGAATCTAACCCTGAGGATCGGTGAATCTAACCCTGAGGATCGGTGAATCTAACCCTGAGGATCGGTGACTTAACTATTTTATCTGATCTGAGCAAGATGAAAATAATCTGCAATAGTTTTTAGAACAATTTGAATCTATGAAATCAGGGCACGGACCCAAACAAATTCATTGTGTTACCCATGATACCAAAAACCATTGTGCAAACCAGAGAACAGTTGTTTTCAGTTGGTTTTAGTTACATCTTGCTTTGTGAGCTACAAAGTGACAAAATTGAAAGAGAATTTTCTGTTTACAGGCAATTAACAGGGGCATATGCTGGGGATGTTTTTTCTGCTTTTAAAAAGCGTTTAGCTAAAGTGAGATTATGCTGAGCATGCTGAGAAGCTAAAAACTTCATTGAAGAGGTTTCAAGAGGATATATTTGACAATTCCTTATAAGGAATTATTATTCCATATAAGTGTATTTATCAGCTAGTTACAATTGGATTATGCTTTAAAGAAAATAAATAAACACATAGCATGTTGTAGAAAAAGATATATAATCATAACATATGTTCATTATAAACATTCTGTCTATAATGGATGCATATTTTGATTTTAATTTATCATCAAAAAATCTTTTTAGGCGTTTGGAAAATGAACTTTTACATGGAATTCAGAAGTTGGAAAAAAAAAAACAAGCAAAAAAATGAATGTCTTTATCAGACATTAATTAAAATTTTGTTAAATTTAAAACAAGTTAAAATTTTATTAATGCAATTAAAAATATGTTAAAAAGTTATATGATTTGTTTAGAGTTTTCTTTGTGTAATGCTACATGTATTATTATAAGTACGCACACATTTAAGTTTTGATAAAGTTTTATTTTGTGTTTTAGCTTCTCAAAACAATATACAAAAAGAAATTGATGATGAGGTGGTTGATTTGATTTCTGAAAGTTCAGGTGTGTTGAGTTTTTCTTTATTTTATTTTTTTTTAATTTTAAAAATTTACATTTTATTGTGTTCTCCCACAAAGAAGAAGTACAAAGACGTTTTTTTTTTATTGTTATAGTGAAATCCTAAACTCAAATCTCCAATTGACCAAAAAGTTGTTAGTTTTAACTAATGCTTAGGGTAAACCAAGTTCCCTATAAGGCAAATATTCATGAAAATAAAATTTTCAAATTTCTTTAAATAAATATCATATATATATATATATATATATATATATATATATATATATATATAATAATCCTAAAAGTGGAAAGCTAGATGACTCATTAAGTACATTACCATTTATAAATATAGGAAGATCTCGAATATTGCAATAACGATTAGCTAAAAAAAAATTGAGTTTTCTCAAATGCCCTCTTCAAGCAATCAGAAGATGTTGGCTTTTTATCAAGACAAGAATCGTAGTATTATTAGCGAACAATACCACTTTAGAATTTCTAGGAGGAAAAGTATAGGGCCAATGATAGAACCTTGAGGAACCCCTGAAGTTTCAAGAAATAAAGAAGAGTGCTGTCCATGGATAATAACTTTTATACTACGATTGGTAAGGATTGATTCAATATTATAAAAGATGTTACCTGACACACTGTAAAAAAAGAGCTTATGATGAAGACCAGCATGCCAAACTTTATCAAAGGCCTTAGAAATGTTGAAAGGGATAGCCTTAAACTTTTCACATATATTTAATGCACAATAAAACCTATTGGTTATTACCCTTAACAAATCAGGTAATAAGAGGATCAAAGTTCATATTGATGATCAGAAAGTAAGTTATTAGATTCAAGATAAGAGATTAAGTGTTTGTTAATTAAAGACTCAAAAACCTTGCTTATGATTAGTAAGAAAACTAATGAGACGGTAATACTGAACTACCGTCCCATTAGTAAGAAAACTAATGGGAGGGTAGTTCGACAAGTCAGATTGCTCTCCAGAATTTTCGAAAGTAGGGATTAACAAATGCCACTTTCCAGCAGGATGGAAAAAGACTTTGATAAATACTTGTTGAATAGTTTTGAAAGTATAGACAACAGCTCCAGAAAACACTTCTGCAAGTCTATAACAGGTATGTTCAGGAAATCATTTAATGTACAAGCTGGAGTTGTACAAATGCCAAGCAATAGATCAACCAATTTGTTTGCTAAATCAGGTAGGACGTGATTAGAGAAATCAAAAGCTAAGATTTATGAAAGGTTTTTAGCAAACAATTCAGCTTTGTGTTTAGGTGAGGTAAAAATTTGCCCTTATTATAGACACTGTTAAAAATTCTTTAGAAGTCTCTGGAGCCTAATTTTTGAGATGAAATAAAAGATTTCATGACCTGAAAATAGCATGTTAGACTAAATCTTTTTATAATGGTTTCTAGCAATAGTAAACAGACATCTGTATTTTAAAGAGCTGTTTTGGTGATAGATTTATAAGTAATGGTTACAATTGGAAATTGAAGCTGCACAATGAGAGGAAAACCATGGAGAATATATATGCATATGCAAATATCATTCAAATATTGTCGCAGTATTAATATAATAAAAAAGTCTTTGTTTGTTAAATATCCTATTAAACTTATTAATCAGCTGTAATCTTAAGTAAATTTATTTACTACTTAAAATTGAATATGATTCTATTGTAGTAAATTGGTCCGTTTTAATTTATTAATAAAACATAATTTGTAAAATATCTGTTATTACTATTGTTTATATGACTTAATTATTGCAAGTTATTTACCTATTTTTTTCAAGTTTATTTCTTTTTTAGAAGATTTTGTTATGACATCATGGAATCCGATGGATGAGCAATATAGTTCAAACAAAAATGCTTACTCTGTTGACACAGACGACCCAGAAGTAGCTACACTTGGTTTTGGTTAGAATTTTATGAAGCTTTATGATGTTCGTGTAGTTGGCATGCTTTGCTTACAATTTTTTTTTTTTTTGTAGTTAATACAGGAAAGAAAATATGCTATAATTTTTCTCGCTTTGGTACCTGTTGTTATGGTGAAAATTGCTGGAACCTTCATGTTGCTCCAAGTAAAGTTATACATATTATTATTTAAACCGTGTAATTTTTTTTTTTTTTCTAATTTTAAAATATAATCTGATTTACATTCCTAATGTTTCCTTTTTTACTTTCATGTTTTGAATTCTAAAATTAAATTTTAGATGATCCAAAATTAAATAAAACTGAAGTTTTTTCTTATGAGCATGTTGTTGATCTTCCCGAACTTGGGGAATGGGCTGCAGTTACAATAACATCAGTCCTTGATCCAACACATTTTTGGATAACATTTCCATATGGACTTGGCATTGATGGTTTGTATGATAATACATGTATGATAATGATAGTATCATTTGTATGATAATGACAAATAAACGAAAAATCTATTGCTATGCTAGGTTAATACGGTTTTTGTGTAATTAATGAAGTATATTTTGTGTGTGTGTGTGTTGAAGAATAACAACAAAAAAAAAGAATACTGTCCCAACCCAAATCTTTAATTGGTGTAATGGTAATACTTTGAGTTGTCTGTTATTATTAAAAAATAAAAAAGTTTCATTTATGTTCTAAATATGTCTTAAATGAGTTTTTTAAAGTGTGTGTTATCACTAGGAATAAAATTATATTTTCATATTTGATGAATATAAAATTATAAAAAATGAATTTATATTTTTTTAACTTCAGCGGTTATGATTCGTTATATTTATTGTAAGAAAACTATTGATGCATTTATAAAGTAGTGTTTAAAATGTCTTGGTATTTTTATTTGCATCACATTTTATGTAATTAAACTTTGATTGAATAAAAATTGTGACTTCAACAACTTTAAAAAAAAATAATTAAAAAAACATTTACATTAGCATTTTAAACACCTTTGTATTTTTATTGTGCACTCGCTCTTTTTAAAGAGAGAAAGAAAAGTTTTTTTGTAATTAATTTTTGTATGAACGATAATTGAAAGATAAAATAGCTTTCAAACAATGTTTTTTTGAAGTTATGCTTTAAAATAAAAATGTATCATTATATTTAAATTATATTTAATAGTATAACAATGAATGTTTACTATTATAGAGCTTATAACAAAACTTTGTTTGTATATTAAAATTTTATTAAATTATTTAAAGAAGGCGTTTTCAACAAGCATTTTAACGAAATTAAGTGAAAAAAGTTTGTTATTGAATTAAAAGCGTTTGATAAATAAACGTTTAAAATAAAAAAAATTTTAAATTTAATTTCGTAAAAACCTTTGCTAATTAATAGCAGTTATGACTTTAAAACTTTCATTCATTCTTTATAAAAAGGGAAAACCAGCGTTCTAATTTAAACAAAATGACGTAAGTTAATAGAAAAGAAGGAAAATAAACTTTAACATTTAGACTTTAAAAATGTTGCTTTTTTGTTACATTAGATTAAAAAGTGATTATCAAAAGCTATTTTGTTGATAAAAAGTAATAGTCTTTCGAAAACAAAAGAACAAAGTTACCTTTAGTGGCTAAAATGTTGCTAAATTTAGAAATGCAAACTGAGGCAAAAAAATCAATTTAAACAATGAGTAACTTAAATTTAAGTTATAAGTTAAAAAATGAACCAATTGAATTGCATCATTATTTTCAGTAGCCCTTCTAAAGATTTGGGTTATTTCCAATAGCCCTTCTAAAGACTGGGCAACCACAAGTGTACACCACTGATGTATGTATATATATATATATATATATATATATATATATATATATATATATATATATATATATATATATATATATATATATATATGTATATATATATATATATATATATATATATATATATATATATATATATATATATATATATATATATATATATATATATATATATATATATATATATATATATATATATACAAATTAACAAAATGGGTTAGTTTTCTGTAAATTTATTTAAGATAATTTCTTTACTATTTTTGTTAAGCAAATGTATGATGTTAAAAAAATTTAAAACTATAATATTTTTTTCTAAAAACAAAGTAAAAATGAAAAACTTTAAAAGTTATAAATATTTTATATTTACATAAAAATAAAATGTTTAAAGCAATATAAAAACTATATGTTAAAAAGTTATGAAAGTTTTGTTATCTAATCTACAGATATTAACAGATTTAATTTTTTTTTAATAAGATGTTTCCTAAAATTGTTTTAATTATAATTTACAAAGTTAGGTTTGGTGTCACTCATATAGTTAAAAACTAGTCAATGGAGTGACACCTTAATAAAATAAACAATTAAAATAAAAAAAAATATATTAAAACAAAGAAATAATGAAGAAAGTAAACTACATTAATACAAGTAATAAAAAAAGAATCACAACAAAAATTTAAAGGCTGAAAAAATTAAAAAAAAAAAGAGAGAGAGAA